AAAATCTTGAAACAAGTAAAAGAAAAATGACTTGTCACATACAAAAGAACTCCAGTAAGACAACAGCTAATCAGAAAGAGTAGAGCCCAGTCAGTGAGATAATATATTCAAAGTGAAAAAAAAAAAAAAAACAAACCCTGTCAACCATGAATCTTATATCCAGAAAAACTGTCTTTCAAAAATTCAGGTAAGATAGACATTCCCAGATAAACAAAAACAGACAATTTGTAGCTAGCAAAGCCACTTTCTAAAAAATACTACAGAACAATTTTCAGGCTGAAAGGATCCCAGAGGACAAAGAAACAAAGGACACTGTTAAGGTAATTATGTGATTTTGTAAGACGATAGAAGTGCAAAATGCTTCTTTTAAATATTTTTAAGGCTATTTATAAAACAGCATATGTCATTGTTACTTTGGGGTCAGTTACATAGAGAAATGATATAAATGTTTTAATAGAACAAAGGACATTGGGAGAACAAAATTGTATTTGCATAAACAGATGATACCAGTCAGTAACTTGGACTCCTTAGAACAAAGGGAACCAGAAATGATAAATTAGAAAGTTAATTTGCAAACATTTTAAATACATACTTATAAGTAATCTCCTTTTTCTCACTTTATTAGTTTATGTAATCATATCTTTTAATAATTAGAACAATGTTTTACTTTGTCTATAGCATATATTTATAGTACATATATTAGTAATAGCACACAAGAAGGAATGGAGCTATTAAATAATAAATTTTCTGTATCTCATTGGAACTAAGGATACATCTGAAGTAGATTCAGATAAGATGTATGTGGTAAATCCTGGAGAAAACACCAGGAAAACTCCAAATAATGTAGTGAAAGATTTGTTAACGAAATTCAAATGTTGCACTAGAAAATATTTACTTAATACCATGCAAAGAAGTAAAGAAGCATAGAGAAACAAAAAAGATATAGAAATATAGAAAAGCAAAATGAAAAATGACAAGTATAACCTGATAATATGAATAATATTACACAGGGAGAGTTTACATAATCGATTCAAGAGATACAGATTGTGAGTCTGATTTTTTTTTTAAGAAATCAAGATCTAGATATATTCTGCCAGCAGGAGATATATTTTACATTCAAAGATATAAATAGATTGAAAACAAAAGAATGGAAAAGATCATGCAAATGACAACCATAAGAAAGCTTGAGTTACTATTCTAATAGACTTTAAAGCAAAAAAAAAAAAATCTTATCAGTCAATAAGCTGTAACAATTATAAATGCATGTACCTAACAAGAGTTGCAGAAAACATGAAGCAATACCTGACAGTATCAAAAGGAGAAGTAAACAATTCAACAATAATTGTTGGAAATTCCAATACCTTACTTTCTCCAATAGATATAAGATCATCAAAAAAAAATAAGAATTCAAAAATGGTATGTACAAAAGTTACACTTGCAGAAAAAAAATCAAGTGGAGGAAAATACTGTATTTATGGGTTGGAAGATGAAATTTTTTAAATTTTTATCCCACCAACCTAGACAAAGCAATTCTAAAATTTATATGGAATTGCAAAGGATCTAGAATAGCTAAATACTTGGGAAATAACAAGATGGAGGAATCCATTACCTGATTTCAAGATGGACTGTAAAATTACATTAATTATGATAGTGTGATGGTCAATATGAAAGACAAAACAATGATTATAGAATAGACAGTCCAGAAATAGATGCCTTCATGTATGGTAAATCTATTTTTAACCAAGTTACCAGTAAAAATCAATGAAGAAATGAACTTTTTTTAAAAAAAACTAATGATGAAAGAAGTTGGAGGGAGTGCAGGGAATGAACTTTCATCCATACCTCATGTAATAACCATCTATTACCTTGGAGTGAATTACATAAAAATGAAGTGAAGAACTGAAATCTTCTGGAAGAAAACAAAGAACGTTATCATCATGACCACGGAGTTTGCAATGATTACTTAGACAGGAATCAGAAATTAAAATGAAAGAAAAAAAGATAAATTATCCTTCAGGTAAATTTCTGCTCATCAAAAGATACAATTAAGAAAATGAAAGCTAAGTTACATAGTGGGATAAATTATTCACAGTACCTACTTCTGACAAAGGGTGCTGCCTGAAAATATAGAAAGAATTCCTACAGCAGAATGACAAGTACTCCAGCAGAAAAAAAAAAAAAAATGAGCCAAAGACTTACTCTCTCATGTTTTTGTATCTTCGAAGTTTTCTATAGGGACAAACTATTACTTCTAGAAAAAAATATTTAAATGGTGATTGTTTAAAATGGTTACATAAGATTAAATGGTGACTATAAAATATTTAATCTTGGCATTGGATATACTGCAAGTTGACACATGGAAATGTTATTAGACCCACATTGAGCAGGAAATCAGGTGAATTCTGAAGGAACTAGGGAAAACAACAGAGTCACTAGCCAAGTAAAGAAATAGAAAACTTACTGTTTTTCAGATAAATGAAGCTTAGCTCTTAAACCACCAAATCTTTGACTTTAAAATTCTGAGGAAATTCTTTCTTGTTTATACTTTCTTGATTGTTAAATATCTTACATTGAGCAAATCCAGCTCACTTAAGCTCTTAGCTGCATAACCTTGAGAGAATTTATGTAAAAGTCTCTCTGCCTTGGTTTTCTTATCTGTGCAATGGGAATAACTATATAGCCTCTCTTATAGTTTTCTTAAGTGTGAAAGGGATGACTTATATAAAGTATGTATCAGAGTATTAGGTAAAAATAATAAATATTTGTTATTACTACAAAGAACATGTGTAACATTAGGCATTGAATAAATTTGTGTGACTCAAAACTTACACTGATGTGCTCAAAATCTGAGAATTATAAAACACCCCTCTCCATTAAATGGTCCCAGATCACTCATTAGTCATTATAGTTCTATTCATTGTTATTCAAACGAATTTTTCTAAATATTTTTCATTCTAATAGTCTCTGTTGGCTATCAGATAACAAAGCTATTTAAGTCAGCAAATTTTCAAGTAGTAGTCTGGGGTATTTCCATAGCAACTCTTGACTAATATGTATTGCTTAGTTATTTATGTATCTCATCCATTTAATATTTTAAAGGTAAAGACAGTGTCCAAGATATTTTAGGTTGACAAATGTCTACTTCCAGATTTTTTTTTTTTTTTTTGACAGGCAGAGTGGACAGTGAGAGAGACAGAGAGAAAGGTCTTCCTTTGCCGTTGTTTTACCCTCCAATGGCCGCCGCGGCTGGCACGCTGCGGCCGGCGCACCGCGCTGATCCGATGGCAGGAGCCAGGAGCCAGGTGCTTTTCCTGGTCTCCCATGGGGTGCAGGGCCCAAGCACCTGGGCCATCCTCCACTGCACTCCCTGGCCACAGCAGAGAGCTGGCCTGGAAGAGGGGCAACCGGGACAGAATCCAGCGCCCCAACCGGGACTAGAACCCGGTGTGCCGGCGCCACTAGGCGGAGGATTAGCCTAGTGAGCCGCGGCGCCGGCCTACTTCCAGATTAACGGTAATACTTACATCAGTAAATAGTATAAAGATAGTGCTATAACTAGAAAATTAAAGGTTATATGAGAATTAAAAGTCTTGCAAATTTTAGTGAATTAAGAAATAAAGCAAACAATAAGTTTTGCAGTTGCTACTATAAGTTCTGTGAGCTACTGAAATAACAAACTATGTAAAAATTTGTATAGTCATATCATGCCTAACAACGTTTCAGAAAGAATACATCACAAATACAACAGTAGTCCTGTAAGATTATAATAAAGCTGAAAAGTACCTTTTGCCTCATTTCTTTATAATACCTTTTCTAAGTTTACATATGGAAATGCTTACCATATTACAATTACCTATAGTATTCATTATAGTAACATATTGTGCAGATTTGTAGCCTAGGCATGCTCGGCTAAACCATATAGCCTGTGTGTGTAGTACAGTATACCATCTCTGATTTGTTAAAATGCTCTATGATCTTTCTGCATTGAACATATTGACAGTCTCCACCATTAAGCAATGCATGATTGTACTGTGAATTGTGAGTTCTCTTCAAATTCTGTCATAAATTAGTTCTGTGACATGGAATAAATAGCTTAAACTCTTTGAACGTAAAGTTCTCATTTATAAAAAGTAAGGGCTGAGCTAGATGATCGCAGTGAGCCTTTTCAGTTCCAGTTATATGATTTGAGGAGACTTGTCACAAGTTTACTGGTAAAAATAAAATTACGACAAGGATGAGGGGAATGAATATTAACAAAGATAATTGTGATCATTGACAGTAATACTGAAGTGTTTCTGGTTATGAGGATTTAACATTAAAGTGAAAACTCTGAGTATTTCTTCACTAACTAAAAAGTATATGAAATGTTCTAACAAGGATAGGATGATGAATAGCATTTTACAGATGTCAAAGGAATATAGACTGGCAGACACTGAGAATTAATGAAATTTTTATAGTCTGTACTACTTATCCTTGTACTTGTCAGGAAAGTGATGGAATAGAAAGAAATATTAGAAACAAGAGAAGGATGTAATACTTATTACAGGAGGGGATTTGATACCATTAAATAAATCAATATAATATACAATACTGCATTTTATATATAATAGCTAATTTTTAGACTCTCTTTAAAGATATTATGAAAGCCAATAATCGTATCTTCTGAAAGTAGATTGGATAAGGTGCTTTTAAGACCCCCTTCTAACTATTCTTATTCTCTCTTTTCTGATAAAATTGGGTCATTTCTTAAAGTAGCTATTTCATACAAAAATAGAAAAAAAATTTCTATCTTTTCACCATACATGTTTAATTGCCCTTTGTATGCCAATTATTATTATTTCCTACTTATTTAATTTTCAGGATTGGTGACCTAACATGAGCATGGAAAGTAGTTTTCATGCGGGTAGGGGAAGGAAGCCTTTCTAAACTTACAGGAGTTAAGAAATAAGCATTACCTAAAAAGTGCTAGCAATCTCATTTTTCTGTCCTTGAATTTTCAGGTTTGACTGAGCTGAATGACAGTCCTGTTCCCCTGGAACTTGAGCGCTGCAAGTCTCCCACTTCAGGTAAACATGAATGAGATTTTTCACATTTGTGGTAACTCACCACAATAATATTTTGCTTTATTTCCATAATTCTTATAGTGTTAAATTCATAATTTTAGTAGTTATAATTCAGTTTCTGAAATTTAAGTGTAAGCAAATTTCCCCTAAAAATCATGTAGAAAGAAATGACTATGAAAATATTTTGGCCACAAAATGAAAATCAGAGGTATAAGTACAATACTTTTAAAGATATTTTAAAGGTGGTCATTTCACAGATACATTGATAACGTTTATTAGGTATCAGATAAAAGATATACAGAAACTCTGTCATCTTATAGCTAGAGCTAAGTTAGTGGGGAATATTATACTATAGGTACAGGAGCAAATGACTCCATTCCGCTGAACCACACTTTGGAGACATTTATATTTATTAACAAAGACAAATGTTAATAAAATATGGTATAAATTAAACCATGATAAAGCATGCTTCTTTAAAATATATTTAAAATAAAAGGTTTATAGGGAAAAAAAGAACAGAAAAAAATATGAGGATAAATATCCCTGGGGCTAAATCTAAGATATGTGAATAAAAAAGTTAATGGAAAATATGTTTGGTTTGTGGGATTTATGAGTGATTTACTTATGGTTTTAATTTTTATTTTTATGATATTTTGATAGTCTATAATGAATATACAATTATGTGTAAATTGTTCATCACCAAAAGTATTAGGTATATCTTTGATACTACATTGTAAGTCTTTATTTAAGGAATATCTAAAAATTATAATTCTTTTTAATTTACATTCTTTTATTTGAACTTCATACAAATTTATAAACATTTTCTAATGCCTTTACAAAGCTCTGAAGTTGAACATGAAACATTTCTCCAGTTTACTCCTTAAAAGTTGTTAGATCTTTATCCTTCTTCAAGAACATAGGCTATACATTGTAGGTATGTCCTGTATATATTTATTTAGTCTTAATGTTTAATCCATTATTTTGTTGTTTTTATAATCATTTTAGAGATTCATAAATTTAGGCTTCCTTTTGCATTCTTGTTGGTATTACTACATTTATTAACCCATACCTACACTATCACAGATATACTTCAAACTTATATATTTGCTTTCCATCTCTCCTTTTTATAATTCATGTTATGCATCATGTTACAAAATCAGTCTTCTTAGAAGATCAATTTGATTTATTTCCCCAATGTCATAATTAATATAAAATATAATTCAATATCCTATATCAAATTTGCATACCTTGATATCAAATTCTCATCAATAATAATATATGAATAGTAATACATTTATATGATTCAAAATCAAGACAAAATTTAACTCTTCTCATCGGGTTCTGACACATTGTTCCCATCTTCCTGAAAAAGAAACTTTATTATTAATTTCTTACTTATCCTTCCAGGCAATTTGTGTTTATAAACAAACCAAAAACGTTCTTTTTGGTTTTAAATTTATAAACTTTATAATATCAGGCTATTTCATCTTAAAATGTACCTTTGTCTTTCTAATTCATTATAAAACACTCATCCTTTTCCATCATTGTGTGATATTAAAATGATGCATTTACTGTAATTTATTTCAACTGTTTACCTGTACCTGTGACAGGGCATTTAGTTTGCTACCAATCTTCTGCTATTACAAACAATGCTACAGTGACTAACCTTGATATACAATTTATTTTAGATGTATGAGTATCTATGCAAGAAATTCCTAAAATTAGAGTTGGTATCAAGGAGTATATGCCTTTATAATAAGTAAACATACTCTCAAATTCTTCTGAACATTTGCAACAGTTTTATCTCCTGGTAATAATATGCAAATATTTTTTCACCAATTTTTTCTAATTTTGTGTTTAATAGGTAAAAAAGATATGTCGATGTTGTTACTATCTTCCTTTCACAAAAGTGGTGTTGAGTATTTTCCTAAGAGCTATTTAAATTTTTTTCTGTGAATCATCGATGTATACACTTTCCTATTTTATGTAAAATTGTTTGTCCTCTTCCTATCAATTTGTGCAATTGATTCATAAATTAAGGATGTTAGTCCTTTGTGACATGAGAATCAAATATTTTTCTCAATTTAACTTTTAACTTTGTTTGTGATATCTTTTCCTTTAGTAGTCTTCTTTCCTTATGCCCAACAGTTTAAATAATTGGGACCATCATTTACTGTTTTGGTAAAATCCCCCTATCAAATAATTTGCCCTTAAAATTTTTTATGTATTCTTTCTCATTAAAGAAAAATGTCTTCATTATGGAAATTTTGCAAATATAATGCATGAAGTTTGGGTTCTATTTTTCTTTAACTGAACCCTCTAAGAATTCATTTGTTTTATTTTTTCTAGTCTCAAACATGAGGTTTTACTTTGTTTTTATTTTTAATTTACTAATTTCTACTTTTATCTCTATTATTCTGTTTTTTAAGATTTATTTTTCCTTTTCAACTTTTATATTTATTATTTCTAACATATCAACATATAATTTTCTCTTTGAAATCTCATTCAATATATCACATAGTTTTCATAAGTTGTGATTTCATTAGCATTATTTTCTATTTAATGGGCAATCTGTTTATATTAAAATCAATAGTTATTTAAGGCAAATATGTAGCATTAAGTATCTATAAGTATTACCTTATTGAACTCTTATTAACTTATTTAACTCTTTCATGTCCTTGCTTATATTTTGATTACTTTGACCTGTAAAGGGTGGAGAATGGGCAAATTAAAATGTTGTATTAATAATGTGTTTGATTCATTTACTTTGTATCTCCTGTATTTTTATTTTTAAGAATATCTGTGCTGCCTTATTTAATTTTTTGATGTCTATAAAAGTGTCTACATTTTTTGTTTCCCATTTGATTTTTCTTTTTTCCTTTTGATATAACTTGAAATTTACAAAACAAAAATTGAAAAATTGTGGTACAAAGTCCCCATAGTACCCTCACCCCACTTCCCCTATTAATAATATCTCAATTAGTATATTTGTGACCATTAATGAACCACACTCAGATTCTCCTTTTTTTTAATTTAAATCCCACCACCCCCACCCTCTAGTAATCAACATTTGTGCTCATAGTGAACCTTTGTTTTTGTTTTTGTTATTATTTCCCATATAATAGAACATGCAGTACTTGCCTCTCAGTGTATACTCAAGATAGTATACTCTAGTTCTATAGATTTTGTTACAAATTACAGGATTTTAATGTTTTCATGGGTAAATAGTATTCCATTTTATGAGTGTATATACCTGTGTGTGTGTAGGTGTCTCACATTTTTTAAAATATATTTATTTATTTGAAAGGCAGAGTTACAGAGAGTCAAAGGTAGAGAGAGAGAGAGAGAGATGAGAAAGGTCTTCCAACCGCTGGTTCATTCCCCAGATGGCCGCAACAGCCAGAGCTGTGCCGATCCGAAGCCAGGAGCCAGGAGCTTCTTCCAGGTCTGCCACGCAGGTGCAGGAGCCCAAGGACTTGGGCATCTTCTACTGCTTTCCCAGGCCATAGCAGAGAGCTGGATCAGAAGTGGAGCCACCAGGACTAGAACCGGTGCCCATATGGGATGCTGGCACTGCAGGCAGTGGCTTTACCCACTGCACCACAGCACTGGACCCTCACATTTTCTTAACCATTCTTCTGATAATGGACATGTTGGTTGATTTCATATTTTAGCTATTGTGTTATAAACATGGTTGTACAGTAGTCTGTTTGATACAGTGAGTTTATGTCTTTTGGATATAGTAGTGAGATTGCTGAATCATGTGACAGTCCCATTTCTAGTTTTTTCTTAAAAAAAATCTCCATATTCTTTTCCATAGTAGTGGTACTAAAATTTATGTTCCCACCAATAATGCATAAGAGTTTTCCTTTCTCCACATACTCCCCTGCATTGTTACTTTCTTCCTTTTGAATAGTAGCCATTGTGACAGGGATGAAATAATGTCTCATCATGGTTTTGTTTTGGGTTTCCCAATTGGCTAGTGATATTGAGTTTTTTTTATCATATATTTATTGTCCATTTGAATTTCTACTTTTGAAAAACTGTTCAGATCCCTTGCCCATTTTTTAACTGGATTGCCTAGGCTGTTTATTGAGTTTTTGAGTAGGTGATATATTCTGAATATTAATCCTTTGTTGGAGAAGTAGTTTTTTTTGTTTTTTTTTTGTTTTTTTTGTTTTTTTTGTTTTTTTTTTTTGGACAGGCAGAGTGGACAGTGAGAGAGAGAAACAGAGAGAAAGATCTTCCTTTTGCTGTTGGTTCACCCTCCAATGGCTGCCACGGCCTGGCTCACCATGCTGATCCGAACCCAGAAACCAGGTGCTTCCCCTGGTCTCCCATGCGGGTGCAGGGCCCAAGAACCTGGGCCATCCTCCACTGCACTCCCAGCAGAGATCTGGCCTGGAAGAGGGGCAACCAGGACAGAATCCGGCACCCCGACCAGGACTAGAACCCAGTGTGCCGACACCACAGGCAGAGGATTAGCCTATTGTGCCACAGCGCTGGCCGAAGTATCTTTTTTTTTTATAAGTATCTAGCAAATATTTTCTCTCATTCTGTTAGATATCTTTTCATACTATTGATTGTTTCCTTAACTGTGCATAACTTTCTTAGTTTGATATAATCTATTGATCTAGTTTCGCTTTTGTTGCCTGTGCTTTTGGGGTCTTACATAAGAAATCTTCACCTACAGAAGTGTCTTAGAGATTCTCCCCTGTTTCCTTCTAGTTGTTTTATTATAGTTTAGGTCTTAAATTTAGGTCTTTGGCTGGAGCCGCGGCTCAATAGGATAATGCTCTGCCTGCGGCGCCGGCACCCCAGGTTCTAGTCCCAGTTGGGGCACTGGATTCTATACCGGTTGCTCCTCTTCCAGTCCAGCTCTCTGCTGTGGCCCAGGAAGGCAGTGGAGGATGGCCCAAGTGTTTGGGCCCTGCACCCGCATGGGAGACCAGGAGAAGCATCTGGCTCCTGGCTTCGGATCAGCGTGGTGCACCTGCCGCAGT